ATTTTATAAAGGTACAAACGAAAATGTACTACTTGGGTTAATTCCCATTAATTTTTTTAAGTCTAACAAATGATATTTTATTTGTGATATCTTCGTCACGTTATACAAAATTTCTCGAATTAGACTTCTTTATTCATTAAATTAGATATTTATATTAGTCATTTTTACTTTATTTAAAAAACACTTAAATTTAAATATTAAATAATTTTTATACTCACCGACAAATTAATGAGAATAATATTAAAAGATTCATAAAATTGAATAGCTTATTTAAATATTAATAAATATTTTATCGATGAATTCCACAGAATACACGAACATAGTTCACGGGTAGAGATGGGGAAAATGCGCATTAATGCGCATGTTATATAAAATGCGCATGATATCGCATGATATAATTTTTTGATTTTATATTTCCCTCCAGAAAATATCGGATATTTGCCAAAATTTTTTCCCCATCTTTATGTTCATTCATTTTTTTTCAGAATTTTTCAAAACTTCTGTATTCCTATTTCTTAATTTTGCCTGGCATTATACACCTTGGCCTAAATTAAATATACTTCAAAATGCGCATGATTCCGAATCATGCGCATTAATGCGCACGATTGAGGAATCATGCGCACTAGAGATGTTAAATGATCTACTTAAACTTATCCGACTCCAGAAGTCGAGTCAGTACCAAACAAAGACTTGAGTTTTTAATCATGTGAGGTTGTACAAAATCTAGGTATGATTTGTTAACGTAATGCAATGTATGTCGTATATACGGTTTTACTATAGATTGGAAATAACCTTGCTATATCTATCTAAATTTCATGTGATATTAGTGGAGTCGAATAGGAGTCGACTTTAAGCAACTTGACTTTAACCGACTCGAAAACCGACTAAACCGAGCTGTTTAACATCCCTAATGCGCACGCATGAAACCCATCTCTATTCACGGTTTCAAAAAATTTATGGAAATCGTCAATCCAAAAAGCGATAATAAATATTCTTTTTCACATAAATTTTTGCGAATAAAAAATAAATTATGAAGATAAATTAAATTGCAATAGCTTATCTTAAACCAACAAATTGCTATCATAATAATCGCAGTGTTAGACGAAATAAGAAGTCAAATGAGAGAATGAACATGATTCAATTACCTCAACCAATAAAAAAAGAATAAATTACAAATTCCATAAATTCATTATAATCAAAATTTATTTCGATTACTACATCGGCATGTAGATAAATGTCGTAATTGGATCGTTACTTAATCAAAGTTTGTAATTTAATAATTCGATAAACTGGGCGGTTTTCCTCTATAGTCATGAAACTCAAATGTTATTGTTATAACTGTTTTCAAAAATGCGTATATTAGGTTTAGAGATAGGTCTGGTTAAATTATAGTTAGCTAGCTGACTAGCAATATTCGTAGCTGATAATAGTCAACTAGTGTGGCTTAGCAAACCGACTAATGCTAATTTTTTTATTTTCTAGTTAATTAATTCGTGATCCGCCAGTGAACCAGTGAAAACACAGTAAAAAGTGGGGAAATTTACTATTGTCTTTGGAATCTGGAGTTTCCCAAAGAAAATTTTTTCCTTACTAAGGAAACCTCTTTTGACGCCTAAGTAAAGTTGTAGAGGAGTGTCTTGTGATCAGAATGGCAGTTAAAACGTTAAAATCGGCCCAATGGATCAAGAGTTATAAGCATTTTAGTCTTCACGACTATATGTTTTCTTCTTTATATAAATAAAGAAGAAAACATATAGTCGTGAAGATTTAAATGCTTATATCTCTCGATCCACTGGGCCGAGTTTAACGTTTTAACCGCCATTCTGATCGCAAGACACTCCTATACAACTTTACTTAGGCGTTGAAAAGAGGTTTCCTTAGTAAGGAAAAACATTTCTTTGGGAAACTCCAGATTCCAAAAAAGGCAAAACTTACATAGTAAACTTATCCCAACATTTACTATGTTATTTCACTGGTTCACTGGCGGATCACGAATTAAGTAATAAAGTTGTGGTATGAGTGCTTGTTTGCAAAAAAAAAAAAAATTATCTTTTATCTTCACTATAATATCAAATTACCGACCCTCATATATAAAGTTTAAAACAATATTTAATTTTTACAAATTAAAACCAACTTATTCAATTTTGCCTTTTAAAAAATAAACCCAATTCCAAATTCTATTCACATCTTATACACTTTACATACAAAACATAACCTAGTTCTACACAAAATATCTTATCTATCTCATAAAAATTTTTAATTTTTCTTACTTAACTTATTCATTTCCTAATATCTCATATCTATAAGTTCAACCTTTCGATTATTTTATCCAAGCTAAACTATAACTTGCAATCAACACAACTTTTACTATTATTTTAAAATCCTTTTTACTTACTATACTATCTGTATATTCTCTATCTTTTTTGCCCCTTTACCTAAATCACTTTTAATTTCTTATCTAAAAATTTTATATACTCTACCTAATACATCTAACTCACTGCATTAGCACAAGCTTTATCTTGTTTTAATTTCCATATAATGAATTAGTTATACAAATTTGGGAAGTGCATGAGGCTTGGAAGGTGTAGCACATCTAATTTTTATGTTGATGCTAAATTATTAGTGTGAACACTAAATTTATAATGTTCACACCAAAGTAGACATTAAATTAGAAGCACTGACGCTAAATACTTAGCATCAACATTATAGAAAACTAAAATGTATAAAAACGTTAAAAATTAATAAAGGACAAGTTCCACATCCATTTTTGCTTAATACCTAAGTAATAAAGTAAATACTTATCTTTTGAATTTCGACTTGAACTTTAATAAACTCTTTGAGACTCAATTCGACGAGCTGAATTGACTTGTAACTTCAATCAGCGTATTAAGACTTGAAATTCCATATAACGATGTTCTTAACATCTTCGGAACTTGGTCATGTGATATCTGTTTAGAAGTTCTTCAGTCAAGAAAAAGTATTAGTTTGACGCGTGGAAATTGAAAATCCCGCCACCATTGGCATCACCAGCATCAGCTGGTTTAATATAATAGTTTTAAATATATCAGATGATATAATTTATCTATCATCATTAGTCTTTAAATCCCTCAATATCATTCTGATTCATTAATTATTTATTTTCGGATATCATTTTCGAATCATTTTAATTCATAGTTGTTCTTGAGTTTGATTCATTTTAAGTCTTATATTGGCCCAAATCATTTTATCAACATCATTATTGATCAATCATTAGTTTCGTTGATACACTGTTAACATATGCATTTTTAGTTATTATCATTCTTGAATCATATTAAGGCGAGACCAATTTAATTCAGTGGTTTACGTTACATCCTACTCACAAAAAAAAGAGGGGGAGGGCTGGAGGGAGTTTATTATAAATTTTTTCTCCGAAATGATCCGCGATATTATAAAAATTTTCCGAAATTTTCCGCGTATATAGTGAGGGTGGAAGGCGGGAGAGGGGGGGTAACGTAAACCACTGAATCAAATTGGTTACCTTAGTTCCAAGGATCGATTAATTTTAAGACAAATTTATATTTTCCTACGTTTATATAAACTCCCAATCCCGTACATGGTTGGAGTTCAAATTGGAACTATTTGTCTATAATCTTTTTTGCTCTCCCAATACAACCATTACACTAGTAAACAAATGATGTGGTTTAACGTGACGTGACGATTAATGTGTTCATCCGTCCCCTAAATCGAGTATAGCATAACGAAAAGTATTGCACGCATGTTTTAATTTAAATAATCCGGTCTAATATACCGGGATAAGACTTTATTGATTTGCGAATGTAGATATGATTTATGCATAATATGCATAATTGAAACTGAAACGGATATGCTCCCGGAAATATCAACCGATGTTGCGCCGGGCATCACCGTAAGCAGTTGAGTTTGTTATGTATGACATTGGCCGGTGGTTTCCCGCCTGCATAATGCAAGCCGGCCGTTAATGTGAAACGTGACTAGCAATTATTATGAAAATGTCGGGTGGGCGGGATCGGGTTGCGATTGTGTTCAATTTCTCGCAGCGGAATTGACTGCTGGCGTAATTTTTGGAGTCACCCTCCTTTTACTTGTACTTGCTTCATCTTGTATAGATCCTGCCCGGGTTTAATGATTACCATTTTCGGAAATTGATTTTACATCATACTCACCTGTATTCGGATCTTCGTTTGGAAACTCATGCAGATCTCCACATGCCTTCCCACATTTGCCGCATTTGCTGTGCTCAGCAAGTGATCCCGCCCCTTACCCAGGCGCTTATGTCCTGCTCAGCCATCTTTTCGATCTGTTGACTTACGTACGTACGTCAACTCGAACGATTTTTTATGATTCCAATTTTAGTTAGCATCATACGTACGCAAATCCGCAAAATTACAAATTACGTATCGTTATTCAAAATTATCAATTACAAAGACTAAAATCAACCAATTAAATCACATAAAGGGTACATCATGAACGGCCGTCATTTTATTATGGGAGGAAAACTCTTAATTATAAATAATTACTAGAGATAAAATTTATTGAGTATGTACAAAGTATCATGTAAAATGTTTATTTTAAAAAAACCCCTAACCTTTAGCCTATGCCCTAATTCTAATCTTAAAATCCAATTTTGACTTTAACATTTGAAGCGAAATGTCTATGTATAAATCTTGTGGTAATAATAAAAAACATATATAATGAATTTCATTTCAGAAAATTTCCTTCAGAAAAATGCATATTCTTTAAACTAATTTTATATGATTAATAATTTACAACAAAAATATATAGAGCGTGCTAAAAAATGAAGATTTTAATTACTTCAGATGATAAACAAGTTGTTATACAAATGAAATTAATAATAAGCTAAATGTGTGGCAGTATTAAGTAAAATAAGTTTCTTGCCACATAAAATAAATGTAGCCAATCATAATAGTATCAAATAATAAGTTATCCGATTATGACGTGAATATCTCAGTTATTAACGCAGCCTACCGTAAAATTTTTAATTTTTCTTTAGCATTATTATTATTTTGAGCAGCTGCAAGATTTAAATACTTCAATGCAATTTCTTTGTTAGTAGACAAATAATGATCGCCAAGTTTATATTGAGCTGCACCATGTCCATTATTAGCTGAGAGCTTTAGATAATTAATATATTCTTCTCTTGTTTCTAAATCAATTTCTTCATTTAACTGCAAAGCGCATGCATATCGATATTGCGCAGATACAATTCCATCATCAGCAGCTTCTTTAAAAAGAGCAATAGCTTGTGCCTGATCTTTTGAAACATGAAGACCTTCCCATAAATAATAACCTTTCCAATACTTTGCGAGTGGATGGTTAAGTTCGGTGTTTTCTACAAAGCATCTCCATGCATCTTTATAATTGCCTTTTTTATGAAGCTCTATTCCTTCTTCAACTTGCATTACTAAATCCATTAACTTTAAATTTTTATCATTATAATTTGGTATTGAAGAATCTCCATTAATATTAGAGTATTCAATTTTTTCCGAATACTTAGAATTATCTTGTTTAAGTCCCGAACAATCCTCAGGGATTATATAGTCCGGTGCCAAATTTTTAAGCGATAAGGACAAATCAATAAAGTCTATTCGTTTAGTTGGCGATTCTTCCCATGCTGTTTAATTAAATAAAATTAAAATTATAGAATGCTTAATAAATTACTTAAATAAGATTAAATATATATTTGATATGTGTATACCTTTTGAAATAATTTCCACTAATTTTAGCATAATATTTTTATCATCTTCATTTTTAAATTTGCAAACTTCTAGCGTTAATGTTTCTCGATTGCCACTCAAAACATGTTTGATTATTTCTTCAGGGTTCATCTTTTCATAAGGAATTTTTTCATAACAAAGCTCCCATATTAGCATTCCAAAACTATTGAAATTTTTTTTTTTTTTAATATATTAAAAGTATAAAAATCGCAAATGTTTTTTATTATATTAATTATAATACCTGAATATTTCACAATTGACCGTGTATTCTTGTTTCATTTTAGCATCTATTTTTTCTGGAGCCATCCAGTTAACAATGCAATCTAATGTCTCTTTCATATTTACAGTTGGAGCATTTTTCATTCGAGAATAATCAAAATTCGTGAGTTTTGCTTCCATATTTTTAGTAATCTATTGAAAATTAGAAAATTAGAATATTAAACATGTGTTGATGATTGATAAATGACTAGATTGATAAATTACTAGATTATAACTAATATATTACCATCACATTTTCACATCTAACATCATGATGAAATATATTTGCTTTTTTTAAGAAAATAAGCCCTCGACAAATGTCTTGCAAAATTTGAACCTTTTTTAGCCACGAAATATTGCACGTGGTGTAAACATCTTTTAAGCTTCCATATTCAGCCCATTCACAAACTATAAAATCTTCACTGTCAATATCCGAAATGCCGTAAAAACGAATAATATTTTGAAGATAGCTTAGTTTTGCTAAGATTTTTAGTTGGCGAAATGCATTATGACCTTGAGTAGGTTTGCATGCTACTTCAATTAATTCAGAATCTTTTCGGTATAATTTTTTAAAAACAGAACCGCTAGACCATTTTTTCTCCATAATGGGAGGATCAATTAAGTCTTCTGAATTAATCAACGCCAGTTTTTGGTTTTGTATGTTTTGTATACAAGATATTTCTTGGATAGTTATATCATCAGTAGTTTTTTTATTACTTTCAAGGTACTATAGAATTTAAAAATTAGTGTAAATATTATATAAGTCAATTTTAAATAATAAATTATGTAAAATCATAAATACTTTATCAATTTTTTCAAACTCTCTTTCAATTCTCTTCATATCAACCGTATTTTGAATTGCGATTGTTATTGTCACTGTAGTATTCAAATCATTCATATAACCATCGTATTCTTTCATCAAACTATCAAATTTTCTTCTCACGTTATTAGCATTCCAATATTTTTTAATTCCTCTAAATTGTGTCACTTTTTCAGCAAAGTTTTTGACTGCTCTAAGGTATTTTTGAATTTTCGAGTAGCAAGATAAAAATTTTTTTCCGAAATAGTTGCTTTATTGTCATCACTTTTAAATAACGTTTTACATGTGTATTTGTTGCATTGAATATTTTCATAAATGTCGACCTTTTCATAAATATCAACCGTTTCTTGAATTATAATCTTTGTGAGAGATCCATGATCTTCATTTCTAGACAATAAATCTAAGAAATATTCTGCAGTTTTAGTTCTATCGAGTAATATTTTTGCAATATACTGATTGCATTGTGCATTTTCATAAATGGTCTGTAAGTCTTGGACTACAACCTTTGTTAAAGCAACTAGACCAATAGCGGGTGAAAGTGCCATTATATTTAATAAGTTTGTTTATTTGCCAGTTGAAGACTTGAAAAGAAATATTCTTGTATTTATAGATTTTACGGAAAATTACACTTTCCCATAACAACATTGTAATTGGTATTTACGCACACAAAATATTTTGTTCTGTTGTTATGCTATATTTGTTACTTAATTTAGGAATTTAGAATAACGCGCACAATCGGAATTTTCAATCCAGATACGTACGTACGTACGCTTAAAATCCTGCGTACAAATAACTATAGGGTGAACATGACAATTGTAATACAATTGCCTTAATATAAAGGTTTGTCAAACCATTATTTATTGTAGGTCATAACTACCTTTGTTACAAACTTATTAATTTGTTAGTTTTAATCGGACTTTCTGACCGTATTACAAATCGATAAATCGGTTGTTGATAGAAATAGAACAGTTCTACGGGTCCAGATAATATATGACCTTTAAAAAAAATAATAGTAGAATTGTGAGCTATTGTTACTAAAAAGAGAAAATCATATTATAGTCCAAGCACGAATGTGTCACGATGCTTGATATAAGTAGTAATAATAATAAATAATATTTGTTTTCACTTCATATCTGATTATGTTACGCAACAGTTTGAAATTGATTATGCGCAGACTGCAAAAAAATTTATTATAATTCATGCAGTCGAATTATCGCGGTTTGCAATTTGATGTGCCTTTGATCAAATTTGTATTGTTTTGTCTTTCATTTCTGTTTTTTTTTACTACGAAAACACAAAATGGGTCTTATCACGAGGAAACTGCGTCATTCCGAATTGACCTAAATTTTAAAATGACGTAATCGGTGAAACGTATGACCAGAAATATATTAATTATATCGTTTGATAAATAAACTAGATCGTGCCACCTTAACACAGCCACCAAATCAAAAAATAAAGATAAATAAATAAATAAAGGGCACGGTAAATTTTCGATTTTGATTGGCTGTACTACTGTATGTAAAAAACATGTGACAATCCTTGATATTTTTTATATCTTCTAGCGATGGCTTCTCTGATTAAAATAATAATTTTTCATTAATTGTGCAAGCATGAGAATTAATTTTTTTATTTTTAATAGATTCGTAGAATTAAGATAAAAAAAATTTTCTTCGAATTTGATCGTTAGTTATTGAGAAATAATTACTTTTTAAGTTTTTAAAAAAAAAATACAATTTTTTCATTTACAAGAAATATTAAACTTTGAACGAAGATTTCTCGGCACTGCCTGATCAAATTCGATGATTTTTTTTATTCTAATTCTAAAAATTTGTAGAATTAAAATGAAAAAATTTTCTCCGAATTTTGCCATGTGGTTTTCGAGAATAATTGATTATATTTTTAAAAAAATTTGAACGTATGCATTACAACTTTAATTTTTAAAGTTTAAATAAATTCTCAATAATTACTTCATCAAGTTCGATGAAAATTTTGCTATTTAATTCTATAACTCTGTAAAATAAAAATAAAAAATTTTCTTGCTTACAGTGTAAATATAAATTGCAGTTTTTTTTAACATTTAAATGAAAATTTCTCAATATTTGCTAAACCAAATTCAATGAAGATTTTTTATTTTAATTCAATAGAATTGTGGAATTGAAATAAAAAAAAATTCATAAAATTAATGAAGTAATTATTGAGAAATATTTATTTAAACAATTAATTTATTTTTTAAAAAAATATAATCAATTATTTAACTTTATTTGCTTGTAGAATTAAAATAAAAAAATTTTGATCAAATCTAAATATTTTTAAAAAAAGGCTATAGTCTAATTTTTTTTAATTTTTAATAATAAATATTTTTGAAAATCTGCTATTCAAAATTTTTTTATTATTCTCGCTCAGATCAGTTTATTTATTCGAAGAAATACACTATGGGAGTAGTGCCATGCTGCGGCTCTAGCTGCCATTAATGACAACGTATTACTATTAGTTTAAGGTGTTACACCGAATTACGTGATGAAGATCAAAGAGGATTGGGCATGTGCATGACATGCCACGTATGAGATGGCTCATGCTAAGATACAGCGCATCAATGGTCTGAGTTAATATTTCTTTTCCCTCTCTCTTCCTTTCATTTTCCTTTTCTTCTCTTCTTCTTTCTTTTTTTTTTCTTTTTTTTTTTATAATTAATCAATTTACATAAATTTATGTCGACTTATATCAAGAGTCGGTGAGCCTGTTGCCGAGCCAGATTCTCAGATCAGCAAGCGTGTCTCTGAGCATCTTTATACAACCTAACATTATTTTTTTTTTTAGGAGGCTGAGAGGAAGTACAATACAAAAGAGCCAGAACTAAGTCGGGCAGCAAAGGAAAAGGGCACTGCTGATCAGAACATTATCAATTTACTCTTAAATAACAATTTTGATTTCACATTCATTTTTGGTTAGCCTGGATGATCCTCACGATAAGCATGACTATTGTCACACTTCAGGTTATTATTCTCGCTTGGATCAGTTTATTTATTCGAAGAAAATACACTATAGGAGCAAGAGAGAATCATAAAATGTAATATATATATATGAATTATTAATTTTTTTTATTTTTTCACGTGATGTCAAACTTGATAATTGTTCTAATATGTTTTGTTTTCAAAATACTCGGCCAGGTCTTCATTTTCTCATTGCTGTTTTTCATTTTATTTTTATTTTATTTTTTTATTTTATTTTTTATTTTTTTATGTCTTTACCTCTTCTCTTTTTTTTTAAAAAAAATTTAATCTTTACTGATGTGTTTAGTAATGCTGTGGAGAATGATCTAAGGTAAAGTGCTACCAATTGCAACAACCATCCTCTAATACTCATAATCTGTGGCAGTGTTAGCCCTGCTTTCATTGCACCAGTTGCTCCACCAATGAGCAAACTATGTCCCAAGTACCTCCTGTTTAGTCTTGCATAGTTTACTACTCTCTTTACTGACATATTTACAGTTCTTGTTGACATATAGGGTTGAGTCAATAGAAACCAAGCAAATTTTTTTTAGTAAGTTTTTTTAAAATTTTAAACAAGAATAACTTA